CTTTTACATCTTATTTATAGTCTTAGTGTTATGCAATACTTGCAATGAGCACAAAGGCCTTGTTGTAACAAAGAATCTTTCTAGAAGTTCATGAAAATTTATTTCTTATTGTTCAATAATATTTGTGTATACCTGGGATATTTTTTGTCAATTTTCCTATTACTTTATTATGTCACTTTATTATTCTATCAATATTGATTGTTATCTGCGATCTATAAAACTAAAGACCATTGCTTAATGAACTATTGCTTAATGAAGCCTGTTAACATTATGTTATTAAATTGTCATCTTATGGCTGAAGGAGTCTTTTGTTGACGATGATACTTGTAATGTCTAGTTTATTTCACCAGTAACATGCAAGTGTGGCATGGTATTTGCCTTGAGCCAAGACAACATCAGACATTGATTAAGGTGTAGTGACCTGAGCTTGAAACATGATAGAATCCTTGTTGTAGATGTGTTTATTCAAGGATAAGAGTTTTGATATAAAGTTGAAAATAGATGGCAAACACTTGTTCACATGGTCAGATAGGAAATTCATTGATTCAGTTGACACTGCTTTATTGCATTACGTTATGTACACATCAAAAACTTTGACGCGATACTTAGTAATTAGCATTTATTTTCTAAATTACAGATGTTAATTTTGTAGACTGTTAATTGGTTTTACAAAGCTCCAATTCGTTAATGCTATTTCCAGTAGATTTTCAATTTTGTTTATGCTGTCGAAGTATACCATTTACATTCACTCTCGTGTTCTTGTGTAATGATTTAAAGTGTGAATACTTTTATGTACTTGTATGTTCAACTAATCCTACAATTAATTAGTATATGAGAAAGCAAAATTTTTGAGCTTTTGCCTCACTTTTACACTACACGTACAAATACCAAGAAGGATTTCCCTTAAATCATGAGATTACAAATATTAAGTTCTTTATATATTAATACAGTTCCCATGGTTCATGAACTTTACTTGGTTAATTGTTTAATTTGATAGTTTGACTTAGCAATCTCATTAATAGTTTATATATGAAATGTTCTTATGACTCATGCCGCGTAACACTTAACTAAGTTGATAAACAGGGTCATTCAACTGCTGCTGCAGCAAATGTTCGAAAATTGAACAATTAACCAAGTAAAGTTTCATGATTTTTAGTTGCATTTGGAGCTGAAGTTGCTGTTGTTGCTGATGCAATTCTTGTTGCTGCTGTAGCTGTTGAAGATGATGTTGCTCCTCTAACTGAAGTTTCAAAAATTGCTCCAACTCTGGCATATACTGGTTAACTGATTGTTGCTGCTGCTGCTGCTGCTGAAGTTGCTGAAGCTGCTGAATGGGCCATAAATCCCTCCCTTTTGATCTTTGTTTCCTGGTCTTTTCTTTCTTCTGTCATGATCCTGTTCATGCCTGAACATTTGAAAGATGGGAAATAAGTAGACTATGGTTGTGCTACTATTTTGTTTATAGACGAACTTACTACTCTTCTAGTTTATCAAGTAATTAAGTAGATTGTCCTTACTAATCGTGATCGTGTTGCTGATAGTTATGATGGCGTTTATATCAAGTTATTGATCTTATACAGATCCTTGCATACCTTGTGTTTTCTATCTTAATTCATTTAAATATACTCGCAATTTTGTTGTTATTGATCTTTTGGTTTTTGGTTTGGAAATTTGAGGTTAATTTTGCAAATGTGTGAGGTCTGTACTTTTATCCAGGCTTGTAAATGGTTCAATCATGAATTTGTCTGCATTTGTTTATCTTTGTTTATGTTCCTATCTTTGTTAGTATTTTATCAAAAGCCCCAACAAGTTTGCAAAAAGCTCCCAAAAAGTTTGCAAAAAGCCCACAATAGTTTACAAAAAAAACCCCTAAAAGTTTACAAAAAACACCCCAAAAGTATTATACATATATATGTACTATAGTTAAATGGGCAAATGGGCGACCCGTTTATTAAATGGGCGGGTAAAAACCCGCCAATTTAAATAATGTTAAATGGGTCATAAATGGGTAAATGGGCAAAACATGCCCGTCCATTTATAGCCCGCCCATTTATACCCATACCCACCCATTTAACATCTCTACTGTGTGGTCAGTTACCTGCTGTTGGTGTGAATTGCAGATATTCTAATTAAGGCCAGTTCCATCATTTGTTTGTTCTATAGAACAGTACCGTCCCATGCATATTAAACTGTATTGTCTGGTGACCTTCTTTTTCTGCTGTAATCATCATGTTACTGATATTGGATGGTGATGTACATAATTCTAGAATTTAATACATTTCTGCAGATGTACATTAGATGTAGAGGTCTTCTCCATTATTCTAATCTCAGCTGTAAAGATCTCTACCAATTTTTCTCGAAGGAGAGATCATCTTAACTTCTTCTGTCCCCAGCACAATTCTTCCTGTTTTCAGTACATTTTCCAACTATTCTTGTTCTGTACATCTCTTAGCTTCCTGCTTAGGCTTTAACTGGACAGATGCTGGATGATATCAAATATTATCGAGCCAATTTGATGAAGTCATAAATTAAAATGCAAAGGTTGAGCTGTTAGCTGAATAGCAATTATTATTATTTATTATTTATTTTTTTTATTTTTTGTTTTTTTATTTTTCTTGGTTGGTGCTTCCAATTTGCTATTGGTTTGCAGTTCACATTACACTGGATTAAATATGGATCAGCTTTTGTTCATTTGCATCATCAGGTTTTCCTTGTTGCTTAATCCATGGACTGACTGGATCTGCTGGTAGTTGTCCGAGCTCATTCAAATTGTTTGCATGATTTATCATTTGTGAAGGGGTCGGGATAAACTTGCCTCATGCCTCATTGTATTATTAGTAGTGCAACGACACGATTTTAACTCGAATGGTTTCCAGATTATGTTTCTTCTGATATGCATCTGCCATCCAGTAATGTTTTTGTTTGCTGGATCCCTACTGCATCAAGTTTCAGAGCGCCTGCCATTAAGCGTGGTATCATATGGTGCGAACGTTATAGTGCTGGATTTGGTATTGTTAGTGTGTACTTTAGTATCATATAGCATTAGACATTTCTACTTGGTAATCATATATTATTTGACAAGATCTATTGGTCTTTAACGGTTCGTGTTTGAAGGCATTAAGCTTGTTCTGTCAAGAGGATTGTATTAATCTCACCAAACGCTTTCACTGGTAATTCTTGACCCCATTTTCTAGTTTTGGTTCTAGGCATAGCCCTCGCAAAATAACTCGGGGGAATTGACAGTCAGGAAATCTCAAGGACGGATGACTTGGATCTGCATAAAGATTAATACTTTGGTATTTTCTCCAAATTTCCTTATAATTCTTAAAACTATTAGTTACGAGTAACAAAGGGAACATATTTCTGTCACCGCTTTGGCTATATAAAGAAATCTTATTGGTAGAATTAAAACAGTTTATATGACTTTTGCTTCATGACAAAAAAATACGCTTAGTGATATATTCTCCCATTCATTATCATTCTTAAAAGAAAACATAGCGAAGATAAACGAAGACAATAATCCTTCTTATCTAAGAGCCATGACAAACTGAGTTTTTTGCTTAATCAAAGCAACATAATTTACGTGCTTTCAATTTTAATTGGGACAAAAAAAAAACACTTCAAACTTTTTGAGAGAGATTCCTCTCAAACTCTCTTTTTGGCGAGCCTCTATCTGCTATGTTGAGGGGGTGATTTTGTAAATCACCCCTCAACTCATCTGGGATTGGCTTCCAAACCCTATTTACCCAAGTTATTTTTTCCCTGTCACTCCCCCAGGATTCTCATCACCTTCTCCATCGCCTGCAGCTGAACTCTTCATCATTTGACAGATATTTTGAAAGTTGAGGTCTTTAGACTTCAAATTTATAGCATATAACATTTCCGAATACTCAGGACATAGGCATCAGTAAAATGATTATCCAAATCTTTTCTGGATCTTAATTCATTCATATACAAATGATTATCCAAAGCATCTCTCTCAAGGGAATGTCAATAAAGATACATTAATATAGCTTCAACACAGAATGTACAAGTAATGGAATGAATATTACAGTTGTCCGAACTTTACTGAGTCTTAATTCATTTATCTTGCATTCCACTAAATTAATGCAAAGCACATGTACTTTTTTTAGTAATCATACGAACTCAAAGAACACATACAATTATCTGCGGATTGAAGTAAAATTCTTGGTACATTTGAGGTAATCATACGAACTCAAAGAACACATACAATTATCTGCGGATTGAAGTAAAATTCTTGGTACATTTGAGCTGAAAATGCACCTCGTATAAAATTCTTGGTACATTTGAGCTGAAAATGCACCTCGTAGTGAAGGTACTAGAAGGTGACAGATAAAATATGCTAATCTCTGTATTCAAAGCAAGTACCATTTCAAAAATCACGTGTAAACAAAATAAAAGTTCCAGGAAAAGTTTCCAACGGACCAATTCCTGTCATTAACTGGAAATCTGCAGCAAGTAAATGATGGAATAAGTGATAACACGCATTTATGGATGCCCATGCGAATGCTGAGGAGTTTGATACAGGGAGAATTGTGCATGAATCAGTCTTTATCTAGTGTTGGGTTTATTATAGTCATTAATTGTTAATGTAATTAGATATTAAATGGGTGAGTTTGAGTATTAAATGGACGGGCTATAAATGAGCGGGCATGTTCTACCCATTTACCCATTTATGGCCCATTTAATATTTTCTAAATGGACGGATTTTTCCCGCCCATTTAATAAACGGGACACCTATTTACCAATTTAACAATAGTAGTTATGTATATAATATTTTTTGAGGTGTTTTTTGTAAAATTTTAGGGGTTTTTTTGTAAACTATTGGAGGCTTTTTGTAAACTTTTGGGGACTTTTTGCAAACTATGTGGGCTTTTCGTAAACTATTGGGGGCATTTTTTTTGCAAAGATAGGAACATAAACAAAGAGGAACAAACAAAGGTAGACAAGTTCATGACTGAACCATTTACAAGCTTGGATAAAAGTACAGACCTCACACATTTGCAAAATTAATACATAACAAAAAATAGTGCCAACATATCATGACCTTTGAACCTGAGACAATGTATCCATAACAAAATATTAATACACATTTTATGCTGAAACACATAGATAAAGACTGCAAGAAACTAAAAAAATACAAATTACTCCTTCTGTATATCATTTGCTCTATATGTTTCCACTGAGTTATATTCATCATACCCTTTATCCTCTCTTGAATCAGACTGTGTAGTGATGCCTCTGAGCTCGTCAATCTGACTGATGAGTTAATATACTGAGGCACAAGACCCTGCAACAACCCTGCAACAACCCTGCAGCTGCTCCGTGTCTCAAGAAAGCTCCAACCTGTACAAAATGAATAAGGTGAATTACTTATAGTGATAATAATACACTAGGTAGCAGTAACAACTGAAAGTATGAATTTCTTGCATACTTCAGGTAAAACTTTTAGCATCTCGTGTATGTAAGATGTAGTAACTTAGCTTCATATACAAAAGCACCTATATCGCAAGTTGACACAAATTTTAATAGAGAAAACCTAGGATTGTAAATATTCAATTTTTATATCAAATCTCTATTCAGCGTTGCTTGCTAAAAGAGGAACATAGTGAAGTCAACCAAACATGAAATTTGATCAATATTAAAGTGTAGAAAATGGAGGAAACTTTTCTGAAATAAGTAGGGCAACAAATGGCGCTTGCAAAAACCCCCAAAGCCATCAAAATTCTCCACTCCCTTAATTCCCTCAAACCCTAACGTCGCCTCAACGCCTCAAGACGTCTAATTACCTCCAAATCTCAGCACAGGATCAACAAAAGAATCGAAGATGAAGAGGGGGGTGGAGCGACAGAGGAAAGGGCATATTACTGGCAACCCCCTCAGTTTTTAATGTTAATTAATAATCTTAAATACTAATAATCAGAACGTAAAAAGGGCAAAATAAGAATAAATAGATAGAAATGTAGGATAAAACTATAATTAAGCAAGTTGAAAGGGGGCAAAATGGACATGCAAAAGTTTTGACGCTTGTTTTCTCTTTTAGAAATAGTATAGATATAGATATAGATAGATATAGATTTATGACCAATTAATCCAAACATCTAGAATCATAAAAGTCCGCAAACCCTAAACAAATAGAGACCCCTTCATTTATTCATATCTCGTACATATGATGGTTTAAGATAAGATCATACAGGGTAATACCTTGTTTAACTTCTTTACTTTTCTCGAAAACCACAGGCTGTTCTCCCTTCAAAACTTGCGGCTCGATTTTTCCCCCCCTTCTGCTTTTGCTCCTTCCTTCTATCTTTGATTTTCAGTCTTGTTATTGTTTTGATGTGAGGGATGTGTTGGATGTTGGGCCAATCAGCACCTTCATTCTCCCGGCATCGCTCCTTCAGCGCCTCGTTGCAGGACTGGATCTCCAGGCTTCGCAGGGACAGAGGAAGTTGTGGCAGCGATTGGAGCTCACGAGCTTCACGAAGTGTCAAGTACTCGAGGGAAGAGAGAGTTTGGAGGCTAGAAGGCAAGCACTTTACATTACGCCACAGATTGAGATATTGAAGTGAAGTTGAATTCTGCAACAACCATGACTCTGCGAGAGCAGCCTCCAGATGACTACAATCTCGTATTGCTAGCCGTACGACAGATGTGAGTTTTCTCAATGGCTCTATGTGGAGCAGGAACGGGTCATCGATTTCAAGTTCTTCAACAGTCGATGTGAACCCCTGCTCCTCTTCCGGCTCGATTGATGCTGAAGTTGTTTCCGCAGCTGCTCGCACAAGCTTGGGGCACTCCCTGATGGTTAGCTTTTTAAGGTGGGGAAGAGCCTTTAGACGCTCAATTGATGCCAGCTCACCACACCCTGCCAGTTCCAACTCCCTCAGCGAAGTAAACTCCCCTTCGGAGGGAAAGGCGGTTATGTGGTTAGCTCCTTCTAGTCCAAGGAATGAAAGGGAAGTAAGAGTGAGACCGTCCGGTCCACCACAATCAACAAGCCAAAGTATCCGGAGTGATGGGAGAGAGAAACAATCAACTGGGGTAACTGTGTCTGGAGACATCCTCAGCTTAGGGCAAAATCTAATCCACAACCCCGTGAGAGACGTGAGATGATGTCGGAACAAGCCAGACACGGATGTCAGCTCTCCACACCTTTCAATTATCAATTTAGAGAGGGAGGGGGAGGACGTAGTACCGCAGCCGCTACCACCGCAGTTGCTGCCCACCCAGAACGTCGGGGAATCAGACAATCCCACGCCTTTCAGCACCAATTTTTGGAGACCGAGGGGCAGAGGGGGCAGCGCCTTCAGTTTGCGACAATTCTCGATAACAAGTTCTTTGAGGAGAGGACACCAGGGTACCGCCTCTGCTTCTAATCCACACCACTCCTCCCATCGCCCACAACCATAAATAGATAAGTACTTTAGTTGTTGAAAGCCACCTTCACAGTTAATTTGCCGAAGAGCTGGCAGTGCCGACAATCTCAAATGCATGAGGTATGGGAGCTTCCCGAGAGAAGGAAGGTGCTTCCATGCCATGCCATATTCAAGCCTTACGTGCTCCAGATTTTTTAATAGGTCTGGTTCCATCCAACATGGAGACCTGGCGCCTTGGTATCCGTCTATTGTTAGTTCCCTGAGGCTATCAGGTGGCTGCAGGCGATCAAGCATCAGTTCATACTCATCCGCTACATCACTGTCATCAGACCAAACCAGCTCTAACATGAGGAGGTTTTTTTTACAATGCAACTCGATCGTACTGACTTCCTCGTGATGTTTGCGATTCTCAAGGCCACAGATCTTCAGCTCTCGCAAATCTCTCATCTCCTTCAATTCGCTCAATTTATAAACATTAGCAGCGAACGACAAACGTTGAAGTGAAGTTAATGTCCCAATCCCCTCGATTTTTTCATAGTAAAATTCCCATGGTATTAGGTGTCTCAAACTAACAAGATTATTCAAACCAAGAACAGGACCAGTAGAATACCCAATAGGCGGCCAAAAACAGTTAAAGGACCTGCAGGTGGCAGAGCCTACAGAATGAACTTGGTAACCGAGAAATAACATGACGAATCGACAAATATCTGATATGCCTCAGGTTACCAATTGCATCTGGCAAAGCGTTCATGCCGTCAACATCTAGGCGCAGCACCCGAATGCTTTCCAGTGACTTGAACGCTTCTTCAAAATCCTTGGCATGCTCATTAACATATCCTCTGAAGACTAACACAAGCGTGCGGAGTTTCTTCCGTTTGCCCACATCTTTAAGAAGGTCAAGTTTGTCGGTTTCAAAATACAGATGACGTACCATATTAGGGATCTGGTCAATTGTAGTCATGCCTCTGACAAATCTAAAGCAATCATCATGAGATACTTTACGTGCTAGATCGTGCAAAAGATCATGCATGTTGTAGATAGTTCCGTATTGAAGTTCGAGAAATGATAGTTTCACTAAACCGTCAAAGTAGCCCCTTCCAGTGTCCTCCAGTGTCTCGTTTGGATATTGGGAAGATTGTTGAACGAAGCCGAGAGCCATCCACATGAATACTAGATCATCTTTGTCAAACCTATAATCTTGAGGAAAGATGCTGCAATAAGCAAAACAGGGTCTTAAGTGCATTGGTAAATGGTGATAGCTTAACATCAAAACCGCCATCACACCATCCCTCTGTTGTGCTTGATCGGATATATTGTTCGCTTGCAAAACTCCGGTCCAATGATTATCATCCAACTTAGAATTCAATAACGCCCCAGTCGTCTTTGCAGCCAATGGTAAGCCCCCAAGCCTTTTTGCTATTTTCTGGCCAATGGATTCCAACTTCCTATAATCACAAGAGTCTACACCAGCAAATGCATATTGGTTGAAAAGTGATAGGAAGTTGTCATCATCTAAAGGTTTCAATATCATTGGCTCATTTATTGACCCCCCCAAAGCCGATGCAGCCATTTTTGCAACTGTCACAATTCTAGTAGTTAACAAGATTTTACTTTCTTTATGGCCGCTCCTCAAAGGAGCAAACAATTTATCCCACTCAGAACGATTGTCATCATTCCATGCGTCATCCAAGACAAGGAGAAATTTCCCCGATGACACCAGATCTTTAAGAGCATCCTGCAATTCGGGAAGTCCCCCAACTTCAGGTCTCTTTTTCGTGGCGTGTTCTATCAAATCTGCCATGACCTTTTTGGCATTGAAAGGAGTGGAGATGCACACCCAGAGTCTGCGATCGAAGGAATTAGTTAAGCTCTCGTCATTATAGACGAGTTGTGCGAGGGTGCTTTTGCCCACTCCTCCATGGCCAATAATAGCAAAAAGAGACACGTTGGTACCACCCTCATCCTCTTCCGCGACAGGCTTTCTCAACCACACTAACAGTTCCTCCCTCTCTTTATCTCTTCCAAACACTTTTCTCTCAGTTAGAGCTGGTCCAGTTTCACGAGCAGAAACCGTGCTCTGAGTTTGATGTTGTTGATGCAGTTGTCTGTGTTCTTGTAGTGTAGAGATGAAATTTCCCACGCCCGCTGCGACTTCATCTAGCCTTTTCACAGCCCCCTCAGTTTCCCGAGGGTGGGATCGGATTTGAAGACCCTTTTACTAGCTTTTACAACTTTCCGTTTGGAGTCGGAGAGAAAACCACGCACTTTACCCCTGCCTGCATGCGAAAATGGTAGGGAAGTTCAATTTTCTTTTATTGATTAAATTCCAAAAACAATCAATTATTTTTTAGCATCTGATTGCCAACCTTCAATTATGAAATAAAGAACTGATAACAATAAGGCGAAATTTCATTTTTTTGACACTTAAAAAGCCATCACTTACCACTATCACCGTGTTCTTTGCTGCCTGAGGCTTTCTCCTCAATTTGTTTCTGTAGTCTGAGGTAATCAAGCTCATCAAGTACGTTGTCAGCCTCATCCAATGCATCTTTTAGTTGCCACAACCATTCGTCGAGTCCTCCCTTGATCTCTTGCTGCCCGCTCTCTGCCATCTCCACAACGGCTTGGATACGAGGAAGAGCTTTCTTGAGCCTTTCAAGCTCATCTTTCATCCGAGCATCCCGAGCAAAATACTGTTCTGCTGCATACTCGAGCCCGATCTCCACCAACTTCTCGATGATTTTGGTCACAATCACGTCTCCGACCACCGCCATGTTTGTACGAGTATCGAACACTCTTCGCTTTTGCTTTCTAGTAGTAGATGAAAACTTTAATTGCAGAGAGCTGCAGAACTCCTTGGTTCTCCTACAGTACTTAAGAAATGGGGGACATATATCCACACTCCGAATTATTATGAAATACCCCACTCCGCCCCGCATTTAGTTGCGGTTTGCAGGCGAAATTGAGAGGATGAATATCAACTAGTTTGCGCAGTTCCAGTCTATAAGTCAACAAGGCGATAATAAAGATCAATAGGAGACGTTGAGCGCGTACAAAGGCCACAAAACACGCCATGTGTTGTGGGAACCCAAAAATTGAATAATAAGAGAACAAAAATTGAATAATTAGTATCACTATCAGCATTTATGTTTAGCACTAGGGATTGAAATTAACCAAATAATTAACAAATAGTTCAATAATTGTTCGACTAACTATTTGGCCATATTCGATTCAAGAGTTCATTTGCCACTAAACAATTATTTTTTAGAATTTAACCACATCTATATTCGATTTGTTTGTCTATCATGTGAACGCGTGAAAATGCGTGAGGGGATTTGAGATTTTGTTCAGCGGCTTGTGAACAACAAAGATGTTTTTTCTCGTGTTGTTTAGCGGACAAAAGCGGGGGCCATGAGCGGAGAGCAGCAAGAGTTGTTGGATAACGCGTGAAGTGATAAGAGCCAGCTGACAAAAGAAGAAACCACGTGGGAGGCTATTGGAGGTGGCACTGAATCCAGCGGACAAAAGAAGAGGCCTATTTTCGCAATCACTTTAACCGCTAGGCTATAAATAGGAACGCCTAGGGTTTTGTGTGTGGCGTGCAAAAGGGGGAGAAGCAGGCTTTGGCGGCTATGAAAAGGGAAAATTCACAGAGAGAAAAAGTGGTTGGGGAGGCTGTGCAGGGAAGAAAGTGCCGACTTTCGAAAGAATTTTGGCATCCCTTTTGTGAGAGATTTGAGAGTTAGTTTGAGTGTTTAATTTTGTGTGATTGTAAACCCATTTGTATTCTCTTTCTCTAATAGTAGATCTCCCCTCTCCTTGCCCCGTGGACGTAGGCAATTTGCCGAACCACGTTAACATTGATTGTTCGTGTTGTTATTTGTAATAGCTTCTTTAGGTTCCCTTGACAGGTCAATTCTAGAACTGATGAGAGGGAAGAGCTGATATCCTACTTTGTTGATATATCTTCCTTTCCGTTATTATTTCCTTTATGAAACAGGGATTTAGTTGAGATCTACTCTCTTGTCGAGCACTAGAGGTGCTGCCGAAATTTCCGCTGCGCACAACAAGTGGTATCAGAGCATAAAATCACAACATATCAAATATTCATTTAAAATTTGATCACTTATTATTTGTATTATTGCACATATGATGTCATATGTTTAACCCACTTACCATTTATTTGTATTATTGCACATATGATGTCATATGTTTAACCCACTTACCATTTCAATTTAAGTTTTATGTGCTAAGTTTAAGACTTAAATAATCTTAAATCTGTTTTCTAATAAAATTTTTGATTTAAATATATATACATCATATATTATTAAGTAATAATTTTTATTCTTGAATTTAAATATAGTTAATCACAGAGAACTCATTAGGACTCCTAAATTAGTCAAGAAATGAGGACTTACGTCTACACAACGAATTTTCATGATAAACCCTACTCTCCCACATTTACTTGCAGTGTGGAAGTGAAATCGAGATGTTGATTATCAACTTGGGGACTTATTTTTTTGGGTTTTGTCTAAACCCAACGTTTGACCTCCACTAGTTTTTAAGCCCAACTACTACCGGAAAAGAGCCGATTGAATTATTTCAAACCCATTTTTTTCAGCGACTTGTGAATTGATTATGAGCTGTTGGCTTTTTTCCTTTATTTTTAATTAATTTTGTGACTATAATGATTGGTCAAAAGTAAAATAAAGGGCAAAAAATTAGAGGAATGAAAATCTGGATTAGTCTTCCAAATCATCAAAATCGTTATTTAGTCCCCCCCTAGTTCATATAAGTTACTTTGAATTAGCTTTCGTGCGGAACGGGTGCGTGATTTAGAGAGAACACCATTAAATTTAACTTTTTGATTCGGTTTCAGTTATATCACTTTCCGCAAATTTAGTGCAAATCAAATCCGTTTAACACCCAAATCCAGTCCCTCTTTTTCTTCACTAGGGGAGAGGAAATGTTTGTGGTCTTGGAATAATCACTATCCAACCAGAGTTAATTAAGAAATTGGACTGAAAACTAAATAATCTGTAATTGACCTATGCGATTTCGGGGACTGAATAACAATTAGGGGTGCATTCGGTTCGGATACGGTTCGGATATGACACTTACCATAACCATAACCACTTTCTGAAAACGGATACGGATACGATTCAGATATTCATCAGTAAAAAAAACATTACTATATCCACATTAAACAGATATGGTTCGGATATTAGAGAGTTAGATACGGATATGATACGGATACTAATCGGATATTTGAGAAAACATTAGGAGCCGTTTTCAGAAAGTAGTTATGGTTATGATAAATATTATATCCGAATCGTTTCTGAACCGAATGCACCCCTATATGTTAGGCATAAAGATGCTCTCAAACAAAACCATTTCCCTCCCTTACTTGTTTGTGCACTCATGATAGCAATACAATGATTTAAAAACATGAAAGGTTTGAGGGAGAAATATCTTAAAATAAAAAAAAATCATGTCAGAAAGAAATCCAATTGTTTATCTCTCCAGATTTATGACAACGGGAAGCAGACAAGTAATTTCCTTTTGCAAATCCGGCCACGTCATTAGTTTATGCCATAAAAGCAGACCCTGACTGCAATACGAGGGCAAAGGAAGTCAACGATAAGAAAGAAAAGTGTTTGGTGCATTAGGACAAGTTAAACCAACTATTGATAACCTCGTTTAAAATTCTTAGCTTTAGAATTTTCAAAACTGATGTTGACGAGGATTCACTTGTGCTGAGCTGCAACTCACATGCGCGTTGGTAGTTTCATTATTTAAAATTGAGAATGGGGAATCCTTTGGACAGACCGGCACGCCAGAAGACCATGATAAGTAATCATTTCTTATTTTATAACTCCTTTTAAAAAAATTTAAACGCCGCGTCCTGACCGCGTATGTTATATGACGAGGGTTTGTACTCCTTTTAAAAAATATCATGAAATGAGTTTCCTAAAGTATGAGTCACATCATTCAATAATATAATGACAACTTATCTCATCTCATCTTTTTTCTTAATTTGAAGAATGAACCAAACACAAGAAAAGAACCTATTATAGGAAATCAGTTTCTTATAATTGATTTCCTTTTTTTTTAGCCAACAAGAGAACCTCAAAACAAGTCATGAAATTTATTTCTTAAAAAATCACTCAAATCATCTAATAATATTGTGACAACTCATCTCATTTCTTACTTTTAAGAAATGAACCAAATACAAGAAAAGAACCTATTATAGGAAATAGATTTCCTTTTCTTTGATTTCCTTGCTTTTTTAGCTAACCAAACAGAATATAAATATCTCAACTTTCGCAGACCTGATATTGCCTATGCGATACATATTATCAATCAGTTTGTCTCAGCTCCTCATACAGGTCTCTATGCACCTCCTCTTCAAATTCTCTGCTATCTTCAAGGGACATTGAGCCGATCTCTATTTTTCTTTGCCTCGTCCTACCTTGAGCTACGAGCATAGAGTGATGCTGACTTGGCTAGAGATGTTATTGATCGTCGTTCCACAACTAACTACTGCATATTTCTTGGAGATTCTTCGATTTCATGGAAAACAAAGAAGCAAGAAGTTGATTCTCATTCCATCGCTAAGGCGGAATATCGAGCAATGACGTCCACTATTACAAAAATTGTTTGGCTTCATTAGTTACTATGTGACATGGGGGTGTCTTCTATTGCTCCCACTCATCTACATTGTGATAACACTAGTGCCATCAACCGTATCAAGATTGATTGTAATTGTGATAACTTCTGTGATTTCGCACATCATCACCTTATCAACAGAACAAATTTTTTAGCTTAGATTAGCTCTCGAATGCAGCTGGCTGATTTCATTACTAAATCTCAGATCCTCCAGCGTCATCTCTTTTGCATAAGCAAACTCTTGTTGGTTGGTCCACCATGATTTTTTTTGGGCTCCCAAATATTTTAACTTTTTTAGCGAAAGCCCCCTAAAAAGTGTTTTTGCATTTGGTGGACCTTCTCCTATTCTCCTTACTTTTTAGGAGGCCTTGTTGTAAAATTTTAAAAGTTTTGGGTATTATTTGAGAATTTCTGCAGCTTTAAGGGGTTTGTCCGGAAAAGATTTGGGATTAGTGGGGGAAAAAGTTCAGTGGTCTTTGTGGCAAACGGAATATGGAAAGCCTGCTTTACTGTATGGTGTGATATATGAGATATTAATTTGATCGGGAGGTGTTGAAATCCAGAGGGTGGATGTCCTTCCTTAGTCTGAATTTGCAAAGAGCAATATGAAATAAGATTTTGGGTCAATGTGGGCGAGCTCTTGTGTTTCCCCCCTCTCTAATAGAAGCAATTAATGCGTGTATGTTTAATGACTTTATTTGTTGTTGTTATCTGATTCATATGAATTGAACAGAATGACATAATTTTTAATGGAAGATATCCAATCCACAGACCATTATTAATGAAGTTTGGGGAATTTGCATGCATGGCTCACATGGTCCGGTGATTGGAAAATCTAAGTGAAGTTTTGGAAGGCTTGCACACCTTAAACGGTGATGCATTGTTTGCATATATAGAGTTTGATTGAGTACAGTTACAGATCCTATTCTTTAGGAATATAATTCCAGTTTGTTAGTAGTTGTTACAGAAGAGTTCAAAATTACAAACAATTCTATAGGAGGAAGTTTAGATACTGTGATACTGCTAGTAGGTTCTTGTAGGTAGATTAGGTTGTTGTAGACAGATTAGACTTAGTCGTTAGACTTAGTCTTGACACTCCCCTGCAAGTTGAACGGCCAAGCTTGGATGGACAACTTGTTCCTTAAGTCCTGAAATCTTTGACTGCTGAAACCCTTGG